TTTAATTATACAAAACAAATCAGTGACTGTCCCAACTGTGTACAGTACTGTTATCAGTACACACACACCTCATGAACGCCTGCTATCAGCGTGACAAATTTCGCATCTATCTTGCATCGATGGATTGTAAATCATGGGAGCGGTCCTCGTCTCTTGAGTAATGTTCTGAGCCCCGACTTTGTCTTATTCGTTATCTGAATGACGTATTCTTACACGGCTTTACTTTTTATAATCTAATATAACATTAAAGTTCATTGTTTCATCAGCTTAATATTGTTTTTTTACATAAGCGCTATAGCTTGAAAAAAACTAAAACAGTTTTATATATAGTGATTGTAAATTTGCGTATCCTACACGAGGAGCTGTTGACGGCAGCACAATAGCTGTTTTGTGTCGGTTTTTCAGTTCGGTGTATTTATGACTCGCTCGTATGCAGGACTAAATTGACATTCAGGGTTGCGTAGTTTAGGGTTGCGTGTACTTTTTATGGCTTTATATGTATCGAAAGAATTATATATATAAATTTATTCATAGCCATGAGGTTGTAGATTGAATATGAGATATGGTATGAACAAAATAATTTCCATAAGTCTGTCCTATAGTCAAGGTGATGTTGTTTATTTCGCCAGCCGTCTGTATGTGCGTACATCGTGCAGTTTCGCTGGTTCCGGTGCCTTTGATGCCTATTGATATGCTAACTTCTATAAGTGACTACATATTCATCGGCTTTTTATACACATTGTACGATTCCGTTCCGATGCGGCTTGTTCAACGTGATTAAAGATTTTTTTATGAATTCGCAGACTATATAATAAACGTGATAAATACTTTGCTACTTTTTTGTTTATTTAAAATAGTTTATCTTTAAGTTTGAAGTGAATTTCGTGAGTGAACGTTAAACTAAGACACGTCGGCTCAAGTGGTCCATTATTGAAATTAGCGTCACATAGCTACAATGGCATTGTAACCTGGTGCCGTCACAAGCCCAATTCCATCATGGAGACGTCCACGGTTAGTTGCGAACTATCTCATTTCCTAGCCCAGTTGTGTTTCCGAGCGCCGTCACTCCGTCCGGCTCCACAGATTAGTATCAACGTTTGACGTTTCACGCCTTTGTCTCTATTGGTTCATTCAAATGCAGGAGCTCGCTCGATTTGATATTCTAAATTAGATCTGTTTCGTATTTTCGATGAAGTCTCCTCTCAATGTTCCGAGTTGCATTTCTATGTAACAAAATAAGTATTCTCTTTGCAGGATATATATCGTACACAAATAAAAGCTTTTAAAAAAGCTACTATTTTGGAAGGCTAAAGTGCGGACGTTGTCCATTACAGATTTGCATAATTTAGCCGCTGTTCCGCGGCCCGGTGTCGCTCGATGAATACTTTATCTGCTCTCTCCGGTAAAATGTTCCGAATATTGGCAGGTGTCCTCCGATTAATCTTGCTTTTTTGACCAAATATACCTGTTAATACCGTACCGATTGAACGAGGCATATTGGATTTTATTAAAAATATTCTGTTGCAAAAATTTCTTTTTATTTATATGACAGAAATGAAACGAAACAAAAAAAAGCAATGTCTGCGCATTTTTATGAAAAGGTACTTATAAAAACAAGAAAAAGCAATTCGCGTTCAACTAAAGGGAATATTTCGCACATAAACTAGGGTAGCATAAATAAACAAGGCGCTAGGAACAGTGAAATACAGCCGGCTGGTAATAGTGCCATCCATCTGGTCACATCTTCGATAGGGTTACTACAGTTCCACACCTTTATGCGTCCCCAGTGAGACATAACGGCCCCATACTCGGGAGCTCCGTTTTTTTTGACGTCTATTTGTGGTCGCCCTTTTCCCTTAACGGCTTCTTCGGTCCCTAAGCGAATGAGCTGAGAAGATTTGAATTAAAATTAAAAATTTAATCTAATTTTAACCCTGCTTAATTGAAATTACGATGCAATCAACTCTTGAATGGCTAATGTTTTATATGGCTATATGAATACTTTGTTTTACGTTATCACACCTTATTTAACATGCGTGGGCGATATGAATGTTCTGAATTATGTAAACCTTTATAATAATAGATGTCAAATACAAGAACAAGTGGAAACAAGTGTACCAGCCCAGGGTATGCATATTTCAGCTCAATCTGAAGATCACGTCCACTGAGGGAAAAATCTAATATATCAACGTTACACGCGCTGCCGTGATAAAGATTTTGAACTAAATATTATATTTCAGACAGAATTTTCAAGATAAGCAACGGAATGAATAATTTAACGATTCTCACTAAAGCAAACGGTTTTAGTACAATCTTATATTCCTATTTTATTTATTTAAATGTTCTTTTAAAATTAATTTCTAAATCATGATATAAAAAATAAATATATTAAGTAGGTTAAGTGTGTCGTTTTTTTTACAAATCTCCTCAATTCGTGAGCCCCCATCAATCATGGTGCTCATTCTAAAATCACCAAGGTCCTAAATATATTATTATTATGGCGCGACTGATATTGTAAACTCACACTGAATTATAAAACGCATATCATTAGTGAACACAGCTACATTCGCTTCTGAATTTTTCAGTATTCGTTGAGATGGGTTCGTCATAAAATATTTCTTTTTATAATAGCCCTCGTACTACTAGTTTCTGTTATTACATTTCCAGTCACTCTCGTCACTTACGTTCAGCTCCAGCCGGCAGTATTTTGTTTTATGATGTTCACGTCTTCCGCACATCAGAATTACCATATCTCCCCAGTACCCCATAGATTTAGGCGCCAGCAAATGGATTGTTTCTCTTTCATAGCAAATAAAATTTATAGTCCGGTGGATTTTTCTTGCCTCCTATACTTTTGGGGCTCTTTCTTCTTACGTTCCCGATACCGGATTTATCGCTAACTTATGCCCGGTATAATCGTGGTTTTAATGCAGTCGTGATTTACGAGAGGGAGAATACAGGATTGCTTTCGAAATTTGATATCTCAATAGAGGTTATGACACCCCGGCGCACGCTGTCGAACGACAATAATGGCTTTTGGGATAAAGGCAGGACAAATACGAGTCCCACAGCCGCGGAGTGCTGTAACCGAAGACTTGTTAATCCATCACAAACAAAAGAACATCGCATCACAAATGCAGCACGAGCGACATATGAACCAGTAAGAATATTAAAAATAATTGACGGACGTACAAAAACGCGAATCCCCGTATAAATTTGACAAACACCGTTACCGTTACCTGGCCGGCTCTGAGTTTATCATTTTCCTGTTTTTATGTCGGCCTTAATAGGCATCATAAATTTTTGATAATGTTTTTTCGATTTTCGAAGTCTCGCTGACGAAAAACGTATTGTGTCCCGATTGTTTTCAAAGCGATCATAATATATGCGAAGTTCGATCGAGGAGTTTTTTTTAATATGAGATAATCTTAAATCGGAATAGCAGATATGAGTAATATAAATAACATAACAAAGCCACTAACGCAGGAAACGATCCAATACAATTAGTCGATCTCAGAGCGATGTAAACATCCTGATAGTACATTAGTGCATTAGTCGAGCGTATTGTAATAATAAACAGACCTCCCTCAACGATGCTCTATGTACGTACATGACTTAGAAACGTTATACATATAACACATGAACCGGCAGATATAGGGAAGAATAAAAACGACAAAAACTCTATCTAATAAGATTATAATTGATTAATTAGATGAAATAAAAAACATAAGTTCATAAATCGTTACGGTTGTGAATACATCTGCGTGAGGAGACGTCTCCATATAAATGTTTTGTAGACAACAAAGAGCAAGTGAATGTGAAGTAACGTTCAATTCTGGTGAACTAATATGATGTCATTGCGGTTCAGTTGTGGGACGAATGGAGTCGACGATTTTCACTTTAATTAAAATAGATGTGACTGGGCTTAGTTTGAGCAATACAAGTGACTTACGAACTCTGATGAACTACACAATTAACTGGCATGTTGTAATACATTTTTAGATGTCCGTTTTATACAAGGTTTAAAGTAACGGCCGAGATCATTGCTTTACGAGCGACGACATAAAACAGGCCAAGTAATTCGCCCCATAACACTTCCCCTTCACGACGCTGCAATCTTTTAACGCGATATTTTAGCTATGAATACATTACAATGTGTTCTTTTATAACACAAAGAAATACCGATTAAGGAATTGTTTATATTTATATATATAGTTTTTATATTTATTTGTAATAGTTTCTGTGAGATCGCGTGTTCAGTATTCATCCGACGGGCGGTCAATGTTGCACTAACACTTACTCTTTATGCAAGTTGTCACGATTTCGCCATTTATATCCGAGCTGTCCGGATAAATCATAATAAAGCCGCGTCCACACAATGGTGCGTTATGCGTTCGAGTCCGATACACTCGTAACGGCTGACGTATCAATTTCCTTGAGAAACCGGCCTTATCGGAGAAATCTGATGTCTTGCGTCTTTTTTTCTGTGTACGTTTACTTTGTCTTTATTATTTATTACTTCACCGTTTTATTGCAAGCGGTTTACAAATCGACCGCGCCGTATTCGATTCGAGTTTACTTCAAGCGAATCTTCAGTCGTATGAAATATATCACAATTATAAAGTGTCAATCTAAGTTGAAGAGACGTTCGTGTTTGGAGAAAATACAATGAAAAATGGATATCATAACATTCATCTAAGTCACGTCCCGGTATCGACCGGGGAATCGAACTGGTTAATAATTTACACATACGGTACCTGCGGCTGTACCAGGACAACATGAAATAGAGAAGCTCTCCTGGGACGACCCACACGCCACGAACCGACGTCATTAGAGATGTAGCGGAGACTTTTATATAAAAAAAAACATGCCTTTACCTTCAATTATTATAAGAGTTATTACCAATATTAAATATTACGAAATTCCTTTAATATTCTTTAAGTTTTAACAGACATAATACGTCTTTGATATATAAATAATATGTATTTTTTCTGTTACAGCATCCGTACCCTTCGGAAGATCAGAAAAAGCAGTTGGCGCAAGATACAGGGTTAACAATACTACAAGTAAATAATTGGTGAGTTATCACATATTCTTAAAAACATAAGTTTAATATCGACTATATTTCTCTTGTATTATCGATTAAGTAATATTTAAACAGTAATAGTCCTTCTCTGTGACATCTAAAATGAATATATGTTGAGATATTGTAAATAAATCATACGAGTTACCTAACGGGGCCAACATATTCAATAAATATAAATTAAATATATGTACATAAGCGTATACAAATTGTATTATAAAACTGGAATAATATAGCGGAGCTTCTAAATATGTAGTTTGTAATGCTGAGACCTAAGTAGGTAAGGACACTTCGTGATTATCTGTGGCTGTTCGCATTAAACTTGGAGTTTTATGACACGAGTCGAACGCCTCGGAATAAACAGCCTTATTAATGTACTGAAAAAAGATGAGAAACACTAGAATGTATCACGAAAAAATATGTACAAACTAAACGTCCTATTAAATATATATATAAAAGTACAATATTACCTATACAATTATATAAAATTTGGTATTCCGATATGCATATATTAAAATAGAAAGGCGACCGGTTCGGAATCTTAGATTTGAATTCCAATGATAAAGTCGATCCTCATCGACACATGCAATTTGTTAATACCTACGTGTTTGTGGCGCGTGGGTGTGACTGGCGCGTCACGGCACCGCCAATAAAATGTACGACAAATTGACCATCCGAAGACCAGATATGGCCTCGGAGCTTTTTGTTTTGTTTTGCGATTTATTTATTATTTAAATACGATATAATTTAAGCGTACGGGTGGGCATTTACGAGCGGGTATCCTTTTTGCTGAACAATGGTATAGTAGTTTGATTTCATCACTGTTGCTGGTAATAAATCTGAATGTTTCTTCTAGTAGAATCTCTTTTTAGTTCGCCCTAAAAACGTGAGTGTATCAAAGGTTGGGAAGTTTTTTTCTCTCATCATGTTCCGTCTGAAACGTTCTTTGGCGTGTCAAGATCTACGTAGAGGCTTCAAAAGTGACGGGGTGAGAGGTCGCCCGGTCTTTGTGTATTAACTTTATAACTCCCAGCGGTCATGTTCGCCTCGCACCGCCGTCATTACCGACTGTAATTAATATCAGTGAATCGCAGCAACGAAAAGAAATAATTATAATACAATTAAGGCTGTCGAGTGTGTGCTTGTAAATCAAGCGCCATGAGAGCGGAGAGGGTTAGTTCATCCCTTTATGTAAACAGGTGGCTGAACCCCTTCTGATAGCACTCGCGGCATCTCTGGAGAATGTTTACCTTCAATATTTGATGAGCTCAGCTTTTCGGCAATCAGGAACGCGTTAATGTTTTCGGTCGGATTGTTTTAATATTATTTAAAGGCTTATTGTTTGACGTAATGCGCTAATTGAATCCGGCAAAGCGACCTTTATCAGCTCATGGGGCTATTATGTAAATTTTACTGATAATAGGAAATTATTCAAGCGCGACCCGCTCCTCGCACATTACGGGATGCAAATGTCCAAATGTCATTATAAACACAAGATATTCACGGGCGGATCGCTCCCGGGATGCCGCGGGATGCCACGGGACTCTGTCGAATTAACGAACGCGCCCCTAATTGGTATTGTATGAAGATGCAAATACGAAGAACGCTAAGAGCCGTCTCGTATTGTCGGCGAGCGGTACATGTAATTGATAAGGCGTCCCGATTTGAATTACAAATTTTATTTTTCATTCATACCTCCCGGGAGTTTCCTTCCTAACTTCGTTTCCTATTTCGTTTCGTTCGCCTTTTGTTTATAATAAAAATGGAAACACAATCAAAGCACAGTGTTCACTACGAAAAATTATAATTGAAACAGAATCTTTACTTCAGCTGGTTCTAAATTAAATTTATCTTTTTTATGTGAAAATAAAAGCTATAGTAATATATATGTATATGATATATAATAAAGGTATGTACAAAGGCTACATAGAATCGATTCTATTGATGGCCACAATAGCCGGCTTATTGTCCAGCTATCCGGCTAGGCTAGGCTAGCTTCGCGACAGTTTAGATTAGCCGGCTTACAGGTATTAGTCTTGATTAGTGGCCAATAGATTGTAAGTGGGGATGAGTGTTCATTATTATTAAGTCGCTTTCACTAATATCTGATTTAGTGTTCATTATGTTAAACTTACGATCTTGAACAGATACACCAATATTAGGATTTGAAGATCATTATTATACATTTATTATTTATATAGCAAAGTTATAAGTTTTAAGTAGATTTGATAAACTTGTAGGTTGTCACAGATGTTCGGCTTGACACGGGATATGAAATAAAGCTTTGTTTTTGACAATTACCACATGTGCACCGTTTTTAATGAAACACAAGAGCGGCATAGTCAGGGATTGTCTACCCTCCGGCCGATACGATGGATCGGGTTGTATCTTCGTCATAATTAAATTATAATATAAAAACATTAATCATTATTACAATAATTTGTTATAAACAAAGGAATCAGGATTGCCCTATAGTAATTGTATAGCAAGTGTTATCATTTCAAACAGCCGGCGGGCATCGCGAGGGGCTGGAAACTCAAATTGTCCATCAAAAATCAGTTGGCTCAGTTTACGAGCCCTGGCCGTAAAACAACTTGCGAACACTCGGTTTAATACCCCTGGATGTTTCCTTTACTCCGGATAAGATCTTCAGAGTGATCTCCAGTTTCTTTTTTTGTAGCGGCTTATTTTTACGGCCCTTTTTAGAGGCTGTTGCTTGAATCGATGTTTAACTTTCGTTTTTCTAGACACAAATCATTTAACTCATATATTTGGACGTAAAACCGTTTTGAAATAATATTATCATTAATTTTACATATAATAATTCACACGCCGTAACCGGAATGATGTATAATGGTTGCCGATCTCATCATTATTTCCCAGAAGACAATACAGAATAAAAATTTCCTCCGATCCATTCGGCGCTATCAAAATAGAATCTTAAACCGACACAGCCCCTCCACGTATTCATCTGAGGCCATTGGAATCCATTCGCAATGAAACAACAATCAAATCAGGCCACAATCTCCATACCATAAAAGAAACGCACTATTTCCCGTTTACTACACCTTTGGTGATGTCGTAACTGCTGGAAAACATACGCGCTTATATTCGGGACGTACTCTCTACTTTTATATTGCATTTTACAAGCTTTTATGTTTTAATTGCATATTTTATTAATAGTGGGTGACATAAGCGATATTTTAATTATGTTATTTCGATACATAAACTATATAACTATAAAGTTTGATTTAAATCTGTTTAGTTTTATGTTACAATATCAAAATATATTCAGAATAATGAAGTACTTGGATTTTTTTACGTAGTAATGTTATTTTCCCGTGTTTTACATTATCTCTGATAAAACATCCATTCCGTAGTAATCGAAAGCTGAATTTTCATCAGATTTGTATCGGGGTGAACGAGCCGTTCAGTTGACGTGACGCCTGTTCAGTTTAAGACTTTATTTTGTACAATTGATACACTTATAGCTCGCTCACAACAGAATGAACAAGCATTTGTAATCCTTAACAAAACATTATTATTACATGTTAATTTTTACGTGATATTTCATTATTATTTTTATATATAATTTTATGATTTTAATATACTATTTAATACAATAATATTAAATTTCTTTCGCTTTAAATATTAGTAATATCAGAGCATTTATCTAATGGACAAATCTATAACTTCAATACAAATCAAAAATGACACGGCCATAAAATATATCTGTCCATAATAATGTAAATCTGTCCATAATGTAAATGCCACGTCGATTTGACATCAGCCTTACGATTCGATGTAACGTCAGGTTAAAACGTAATTACTATAAAAACAAGCGTCGAATTAGACACAAGAAAACAATTACCCATTACGAGGCTATAACAATTCACGGGCCAGCCCCAACTCGTCAAAATAATTCATTTTAATTTTCTTTACGGTCTAGTAAACCTTTATTTTACGATGTACTACGGTAGATAACTCTGGGGGCTCCCTTAAAGGCTTCCAGTCCCCTTCATACCCTGTACCCAGATACCGGGATGCTCGTGTAATTCTCTGTGTCGAGAATTTGATATTTGAATGATTTTATTGGTTTATTACACGCTGTTTTGTTTTACGATGCCTTTCAATGTTTATTAAGTGCTGTTTTAATTGTTATTAAGATGCACCGCTAATTATTCGGTGGAATAGTCGTTTAATTGTCATTTATCGATCGTTTTTAGATGTAAAGTTTTTTTTAATATATATCTTGGTAACGGTATCTCTCTGTGAACAATTCTAAGACCGTCTCAGTCTTATTCTTATCTTGTTAATATTAATTATAATTAAAAGGGCTCTCTCCCACTAAATAAATTATGATGAGATATTTTTTCATTGTATTTTTAATTAAATTTTTCCTCCCTTTGTTTTCAGGTAAGTGGTTTTAGCTGTATTTTTGCCTTTCGAATAATCTCGGTAAGTAGTTCCATCTGTACTGAAATATTCTGGTTTCGTTTGATTTACATCACAAAGGAGCATCTGAAAGAACGGCTCCGTCGAACGGCGGACATTGAAAACATTCAGCCGGTTTAAAAACTAAATGAAAACATCCTAAAAAGGAAATTCATCTGTAAAAAACTACAGAAATCAAAGAGCTCAAAAAACTTTATCAGCGGTGGGGTCATTAAAAATGGTTTCAAAATGCCGTATAAGCAGTAATTTTCGCGAAAAAAAAAACAAAAAAGTCAAACCCGGAGCGCACAAAGGCTTTGACCAAGCCCTTTCAGTCTCCCGGCATCATGGCGTCATTTTTCACCGCTCCGCCATTTATTTTATCTGTGCTAGGGTTCTGTTTCGAATTTCGTACATCAGCTGTTGAGACGCAGAGATTTATAGCCAGCCTCATTCATCTAGAACAACTTCGATTTAAATTTCTTTTTAGTATTTCAAACGCGTCCCGTTTTTTATAATTAACCGTACTTTTTTGTCGTTTTAAAAACTTTAACAAAAAA